CGGGAATATCAGTAAAATATTTAGTTAGGCTAGTTAATTATTTAACGCGAGCTCATATTAGTTTATACTAAATATAGTAATCAATAAACTGCAGATTTTTTAATTGAGGAAACAAAATTCACTGAATTGAGGGAAAGCGGATTTGTAACGTCAGGAATATCAGGGTTAAAGTTTGAGGATGATGTTGCAAGGTCATGATCCGAAAATGATGCAGCTAGAGTTCGTAAGACGAAGTTCACGAGTCCAGAAGTGAAATTATAAAATGATGGATTTTCGGGATAGAAAATGTTTTTTGTTCATTGTGATAAACATTGAAATATTCATTCAGCTTTCGATGTTCTGAATTGTCTTATATTACATTATACCCGGCATTTGTAATTTTTGCATATTGAGTTTTGATACAATTGCATAAAATCCGCTGATAATGAATTGAAGAAGGGAAAATGTAGAACAATGCATAAAGCAGCACGTTTTCTTTTTGGCACTTTGCTCTTTTATTCGATACGATATTTTATTACATACGATATATAAAATAAAGGGAAAATTGAAGGATATGACGAAGGGAAAGCAGATGAAAGAGAGAGAGAGAGACATGAAAAGAGGGATGATGCAGACGCGACGTGACTCTCCGGCTGCGTCTATCTCCTTTTCTACACGGCGTCTCGCTCGTATACGTCTCTCCTCGTCTGGCAGATCCTCTTCGTCTGTTTCGCGGTTCGTACCTTCTCCTTTTCCATCGCAGAAAAAGCCCGTTCTCCGTTTCTCTGTCCCTCCGCCGGTCCGTTCGGCCAATTCCTCGTATTATACCAGGTTGCGGCGTGGAATGCGGGCGTCCTTCGTTCGCTTCGAGCAGCGTCCAACCGATGAGGCCCCGCTAGCGTTATCCTTCGCCGGTCCTTCGCATGCGCTCCTTAGGGTTCGGTAAAATTAACCTGGAATACTCTCCGGTCCGAGACGCCCGCCTCGCTCTCTTCTTCTTCTTCTTCTTCTTCTTCTTCTTCTTCTCCTTCGTCTCTGCCTCGGATTCGTTAAACTCGCTCGCGCGGCTTGCACCAACACGACATACCGATCCACCGAGTCTGTACGCGCGCGCTTCCATATAACTAACACACGCTTATATACACAGTGGCTGGAAAAAGTATCCAGGCATCATACTCGTGTTTTCCAATATGACGCTTCGCCATCGGAATTTTTACATTCGACATTATTCGAATCGGAAACATGGTCATCGATTCAGTCTTTTGGCAATTTGGTTTTCGACTCTAACACAACCAGCGATGGGTTCTTGACTCATTTATAGAAAATCTGCAGAACACATTGTGCCTCAGTTGTGCAGACTATGTCTGATTACGATAACGTCGAAAACTGATCAAAAACATGATTTTCACGACGATACACTCCACAGGCTTTTCACAAACTAAGTAGAAAACTGATGACATGAGTTCAGAACCCATCACTGAATTATCGCTCATCAAACAGAATCTAAACGATTGGTTACACAGTAACAGTCGTTATTCACATTTTTGTATTAAAAGAAAATATTAAATATTAAAAAGAATGCATATTTGTGACGTCATCCGAATTCAGATGAAAGAATTGATATTAGATTTTTATAAACATTTGCATAGAGCAGTCGTGAAAATATGCATTTATCTGCAACCACTGTGGAACTAATGTTAAGCGCGGTTGGCTGGAACCGAGCAAGTCACGGTGTATAGAGATCGGCATACTTCGCGCGGGTTTCTCGAGCTTATTAACGATGAAATTAAGGCGATTTGTCGAAGTAGAGCGGTTTTATTGGGGGTTCGCGCTCTTTTTCGTGATCAGAGTAGACTCGTATACTTACAGGCATTCGCGCGTAAGTACGCGTGTGCGCGCACCGGCACACCAGCTGCATTCCTTTCCCCGTGCATCGCCTCGACGCGAATGCAATTTATTTTTCTGCACACGTAGATACGTTGTATGTACATCGGCCGAGATAACTCGCAGAGCCCGGCTTCTGCTATTATCTCCAATAATTTTCGTCGGTTTAATGACCTGCGGAATAGTTTTTTCGACACGGCTGCGGCCTGCCGCGAAAAATTCTACTCTTCTTTTTCTTTCTTCTCGCCGATATTATTGCGGTGAAATTCAATGTTCCGGAAAGCAACATGCAATCTGTCTGTCCGTCTGTCTCTCTCTCTTTTACGGAGACGAGTCTCGGTTCGATCCATACTTACAATTCTGCTACATCTTATCTGAATGCGAATACTACCGTCCCCCCCCTATCGATCTTTCTTTTTGCGAGTACCACCGCGCACTCGTTCGGTTCTCGGTATTTGATCCGGAATTAAGCCGCTCGCGCAGGTAGAATGCTATAATCTAAAGGCTTATTTCTGCTGTTTGCAGGTGCACCTGTGCGAACCCGGAGGCAGAGGATTCGGAGAACGGGAGAATCTAGGTAAGATTGCTTTGTAGAATTTCAAGGGTAAGAATGCGGCTCCCAATAGGTTCTACTGTTTTATTTTCGGTCTCGTTCGCAGATTTGATTGATATTGCTGGAATCTCGATCGAGACTCGTGAATTATTATGCGAGAATCATCGACTTCTCGGATATTCTGTTTGTTCTTCAGAATATCATTTTACTGATTTCTTTTATATCTTTTCAACAATACTTATTTATTCTTAAATATTGTGTATTGCAAACTTTTAAACGATAGGGTTTTTGTAATTTAATTTTGTTCACGTTTGAATGTTTGATAGATATTTAAACTGCAGGAATTTTTATAGTGACTCGATAATTATTATGGTGGAATATATTTTTTCTAATTCTTTCAAACTCCATTTCTATTTAAGACAGATTAATTTTGCTATAAATTTATTCAGTAGATAGGGAAGACGTGCAATGGAATTTTCACACGATTTCGATTGATGATTTACAATCAGTAGACAATAAAAGATATCGCATCGATCTCACATTCAAACGATTAGGAAAAGGTCAAGTTCGCACGTAGAAAGCGTCTGGCGCCAACTTTGGTAGCAACGCTCCCACGATCGGTACATAACGATCTAATACCTCTCCTAACGATCCGTGAAATTAGAGAACATTAGTACATCGTTCATTTAATGTTACTTAATTTTCATACAGACATACTCTGTGCTCCTATTAGAATTGGTCATATTTCCCTTTAAAGATAAACTCGTCAATTCTGTTGTCCGTGCATCGAACGCTGTAAAGGCCCGCAGGTACGGGGGGAAATAATAATATCCAGTGGATAGCCATAGGGCGTTCTTTTTGCTCGATCCCAGCGAAGACATACACACTTGGTTGGTACGCGGCGCTCCGTTTCCTCATACCGGGCATACGTGCCTAACGAGGAGCGTGGGGTAACGCACATAACGCCATTATAATAAAGTTCGTGCACTCGCTCATTCACGCGCGGCAACCCGAGGGGGGGATACACGACGGTATATACGCGAGAGCCGTGGCACTTCCCGCGAGCACGAACGCAGTGAACCGAGAGACGCATACCATTCCTTGTGATATTTATGCTGAACAGTATTTTTCGTCCGGAACGAGACAGCCGTACACGGGCGGACGTGAGCGTGCACGCGCGTAAACAACTCGTTTGCTCGGATATACATATGTTCCCTGCGCCCGCGATTTTATTTATTGCCGCCAACTTTTACTTAAACCTTTAACGCACAGACCCTTGAACTCTTATTTGAAAATCCTGATATAATATCTACGTATTTTATCTCGCGTCGTATCCTACGTTGTATTTCACTCTGTATTCTACGTCTTGTTACTTTAGAATAGAAAATATTCGTAACCGACAAGTCATTTCAATCGTACAATGCTAGTTATTTTGTACCATTTTTATAATGCTTGATGCAGTGTTTCGTATAATGATTAATATCATTCTAATGGATTTCCTATAATAGTTTTGTCAATCCTTTGATTTTATTTCCAGGCAGCACTGCTTACACAGATAATTGTGCCCATAATTATGAAAGTGGTCTAAGTC